CTCACGTGCACCTCTCCTTCTTGCTTCCCCTTCCCCCGCCGTACGCTACCACCGAGCACTCCCACAGTGTCGCCGAGCACTCACGCCAAGTGCTCCTACCGAAAAGACAAACAATCAAGCAAAGGGATAGAGGGCAAGGGAATGGGGGAATGGGGAAATGGGGGATAGGAGGATTGGGGAATAGAGGACAAAGGGAAATGGGAAGGGGGGGGTATTGGGAAGGGAGAGCATGCGGCGCAGTATTTCCAACAGCAAGAAGGGACATTTTGGACGGGAATCGCATTTCGGCTATTCACCAAATATGGGTTGATGGACCCTCGCTCAATGACCAAGAAAAATGCGCAGAAATTCTCCATGGTTTTCTTAGTCAGCATCCAAGACCTTATCCAACCCATCAACAACCTTGCTCCGTCGGACCTGTCCATGTGCGGCTGAGTTGAGATGGCATCGCACGATTTTCCTCCGGTACAGAAGCCGCGACTACTAAACTCTATCGACCTCTGACCTCACTCCCCACCCAACTGGCGAGAACCGGCAAACGCCTTTACGTCGAAATAAGAAGCGGCTCTTGTGACTTACAATTGCCCCGGAATCAGAGACACGGAAGGTTTAGTCCTGGCTAGAAGGAGCTAGGATGCGGCGTTTTATTGCATCCCCGAGACAAAACAATAATAAAAATCTTATTTGAACATACTTAGCCCATGACGGTACTCCTTAGAAAACGCGGTATTTCACCTGCTGGCCCGCTATCCAATTCCTACATCACTGACACCCGAAATTAGTCCCTGGTAACAATGTGCCTCGCGCGCTCAACTCGGGCACGCGCTCCACCTCGTCCACGCCCTATCCTCGGGCTAGAGCTTTCACTCCGGAATTTTTTAATAAGCGCGACGGTGGTCTTACCCTCGCACATATTGCTACCAGCACCCCCCGTTATCGCTTTATCTTCCACGTCCGCCGCGGTAATTTAGGCGAACCGCGAATTCCGCGATAATGGCGGTATTGCATGGTGAGGTATAATAGGCAGGACGGATCCAAAACACTCTGGAAGTCTGGCCGCTATGCTGGGCGAAGGACAGAAAGGACCCATTTCTCGCTTCTTACTTCTCAGTTTAAACCAGATCGCTTATCCTCACTCTCTCCTCCCCTGTCCGTTTTCCCTAACTTCCTTTATTTCTCTTCTAGAGGTCCTTTTCATACCAGATACCTCTTTCCCGTCTTTTATATAATGTTATTTTTAGCCAGACTGTCAAGTCTACTTGCAGAACTGCTGCGCGTAACTTTGCTGTTGAAAGTGCTCCGGGGGGTATACTGGAGCCTGCGAAACACCTAAGGGTCCGGCATTCCCATATAAGGAACGGAGGTAATGTCTTAAACCTGAGAACCATATTGACGGGTTTGTTAGGGATTCTCTAAAACCCTGCGATGATAGCACCTCACTTGTTGATATGCATTAGAAAGCTGATGGCGTTACCAAAGAAGTGATACCAGCTCTGCGCGTACGGCCAGGTGAGGAGGAATAGGTCGTTAATATGCCAAAATATTTGGGCGGTCTGTCGCATAACAAAGTAAAGATATGGAGGGCCTTGGATAATTCTGTTGAGTGAGCGACGGGGTATGGAATCAATATTGAGTTGATGGCAAATGTCGAGCAGGAACATGGAAATGAGGCTAGGATATGATCGTAGCGGGGGGAATGACTGTTGTTTGTATTTTTACTTCGCGTGCCGGTCCCTGCTGAGTTTAGCTACCAGATTCCGGCGCTTGCTTAAGTTTCTTTCGCTTCCCGTCTATTACCCTGCTGAAACGAGATATGAGGAAGGGTGGTCGCGTGGAATACACGTGCGAAGTACCGGGAGAGCACTGGCCGTGGTGATTCCCAGTATGAGTAAAGAGGGTCTTTTATAGATCCATCTTATACCTTAAAATATCGTGGAATACACTATCTCCTTGATTATATGACCTCCGGACAGAATGACAAAGGTTGTGCTATTTTCTGGCACACTGTAAATCAATCTTGGATCCGTTCTTGGGCAAGGCCTTCCAGTGACCTATCCCCCCCCATCCCAATCTGCCAGTACAGTGGCGAAGCCCCTGGTCCTCATGTTGCGCTCGGGTATGGAAGTGGGTGACCGGACGTCCCGAGATTGGGGGCACCAAAGCCCCCCGTTTCTCCGAACAATTTCTAGCTGGATTTGCTCTTTCATTCCCTGTGATGGTAGTAAGCCCACGCCTCCCCGTATTCCTAGCTGTCCGGCCCTCCATGTCCATACTCAAGTAATATAATTATCACGGGCTGTTTCGGCTAGATCTCACAACCAATATCTAAGATCGCCGCAGTGTTGATAAATCATAAAAAAAGGCGCTAAAGAATGAAAGCGTGAACCAAAAGATGTATATCTCCAGAAAGCGAAAAACTCCAGAAACTAAAAAAACTCCACAAGTTCTGAAAAAACATACTCTCCTTGCAAATCATAGTCCCCCGTGTGATCCTGTAACAATCTAGATACCTCCGCATATCCCCTGACCCTCCTTGGCACTGCGAACCAACTACCACATTCCTAACGCCATAGGATGTGAAAGAAACGGAGAAAATCCCCTACCCGATGCCCCATGGCAACAGGTATATATATATCAACAACCGAAAACCTACACTCTATACCCTACCAACATAGGAGATTAGCAGCAAAACAAATGACTAGGCTTCCTCGCCACGCTTTACTAAACTACCGATCCTATCTGCACATATCTCCTAACCGCATCAGGCAAGGTTTATCACGAGATTTGGATCATAGAAAACGTGATTTCAAATCTAAATCGCCGCACACTAGACGACCCCAAAGGGCTATTTGGCATGAGTAGTTCGTCAATTCGTAGTGCATTTGGAGCTGTTACTAGGCCAAGCAATTGGCTTCACAAGCCCTTGAACATCCGTTAACAACGATTAACTTAATTCTGTAACTTTTCCTATCGATCCAGAGGCTGTTTTGAGTTGACGAACAGTTCGTGCCAAAAAAACCGCTAAGTTTTCTAGAATCCGTGCTATCATGCCCCCTGGGTTTGGATTCCAAAGGCAGGGAAATTTAATAAGCTGTGCACGAAACAAGTCCCAAGCGACGTTTTCCACGCCTCACCCTCACCGTAAATTAAGCGAAGAGCAAACTGTACAACATTGCGATAGAGGCAACTACAATCTCCTAATTCAAGGTGCAGATATTCTAGTAAATGCGCCACTGAAGCTGGAGCACGGGGGAAGCCGGTTCCATGAAAAATTATATCCACCTTAGATGTGCTTTCTGCGGCCATATAGTCTAACAGATGTTTTCCAGAAACTTTACGGAGTAGGTGCTTGTGGGTCCCCGATGGCGGGAAGACTTCGAGTTAAACAAAACGTTGCATTGCCTTTCCTTGCTACTGCCTTGTGGTACATTGTTTGGGGGTCAGTGAGCGGTATTCGGGTTTACGGTATGAGTGATGCACCTCGCTTACTATTTTTAGCGTTAGCCTCAGGAGGCATTCAGAACTGCTTGTGCCATTTGCATTGGGGATTCCCCCCAGAAATGCCTACGGTATGTATACACGTTGATGAGGGTCCGAAATTTTTCACAGATGTTGTGTTGCGGTATGATTATAGGTGCGGTGATGGACTCCTTGTGCAAGTAATACCGGCATATCACCTTTTGCTGCTTTATGCGCTGATTCCGAATTCGGTGGCTTGGTTAAGTTTCAGGCAGGATCGCGCGAGTGGTTCGCATTGCAGAGAGGGGCCCTTTTATCGAGAAAGGAAGAGGGTGGCAGGCCAGGGCCTCGGTCCGGAGCGGCGAACAGGGCTACCGGTATTCGCATATCGGCATCATCCAGGAGGTTAAAAGTTATACCGCTATTCTATAAAGAAATTGGCCGGCGGAGCGCTCCAAAATGCCTATTATAGCAGCTGCAGGTAGAGGAAAGTTTTCGCCCTTTGAGAGTGGCAGTTGTCATTCCCAGACTCGAGTATCTTGCATGCCTTGGCGGTGCATCCACCAATCACGGGTCGCTACCCAAATTGTGACCCAGGTTAAACCGGTTACATTTCCCAAAATTGGGGCATCCCAGTGAGGTGTGGAACACCGCCCTGTTTGCTTTTCTCCCGTCTTTCCTCACCACGGGTGGGGAAGAACTCTGACGTCCGAATAGTAAATTTCATCCTTCCCCACTGCCCTGAGACTCTGTCGTTCTTCTGTGACGCCCATACAACACGCTCGCCCCAGCCGCTCAACCTCCACTCCACTGAAGCCGTATCGCCCTTCCTGGGATTATATCCCACCACTGCCTCAAAATTGCAGAATCAAGAACCTCCATATTCTCGGTCGCGTCCGTGACTGCTCGTTCTACCTTGGTAAATCTCGGTTATTGACTTGTTTCAGGGCCTCGCTGGACGATCCTGAACTACGGTACATCGATAGGCAGCAATTAGACTACATTTCCTATTCCAGTTACGCTAGTGACATCTCGTTACTCTCATACTCGACCTTCGAAAGTAGCCCTAGGGTGAGCCGAAAACAGGATGGATCAGTGAGTTCACCCTCACCCCAACGTCTGTAACCAAAAGGAAAAGAGGCACTCATCTGAGGATATTTAAAGGAAAATTCAAGCCGATATCAGCGGGGAATTCAGCGGGAATTCAGGGGATCATAATGTCTCTGGTAGTAACAACCATAATAAGGTAAACATGGGCTGCCTGAGCTATTCGGGCAATATCGGAACAATGTATCAAGGATGTACATTTAGATCTGGTGACAGAGGTATGATCACATTCCCGAGAGCTTTCCGGCGGGGAGCTAATGTGCCGCTGCAACCGGAAGGAGCAGTTAGGCCATATCGGATAATTCCCTACAGCAGGAACAACAAATTCACTGGCCGTGAACACCATATCGACTCAGTAAAGAGGCTTTGCAAGCCTAATAGCCACAACCGGATCGCTCTTCATGGATTAGGTGGCTCTGGGTAAGTATCTATTAATTTGGAATCCAAGGGTTTACTAACATTGCTCAGTAAAACGCAGATTGCTCTCGAATACGTGTATCAGCGCGCAAGTGATAGCGACAGCGATATTTTCTGGGTGCAAGGAAGTGGAGTGTTACAGTTTAGGGAGGGCATCAGGGCTATTGCCCAACACGTCCGAATTCCCCTAGCGAGCGCCGAGATAGAAGAAGAGGTATTTCTGTTGAGTGTAAAGAGGTGGTTTGAGGGACCAGAGAGTGGTGATTGGATTCTTGTTATCGATAACGCCGATAATGAGGAGGACTTTGCTGGCAACAACAGTCCGATCTCTAAGTTCGTTCCACAAGGACCCAGAGGAACTCTGATATTCACCACCAGATCCCGCCAAGTTGCATTCCGCCAGGAGTGCGAAAGGATTGATGTCGGGAAAATGGAGGTGGAGGAAGCTCAGGCATTATTTTCGAAACACTTTGGTAAATGGGGCAGATTGAGAGACAGGGAAGGAGAGGTAGTTGCGGTGATCCTAGGGTCGGTGGATTGCTTGCCGCTGGCTGTTGTAGGCTCAGCAGCATTCATGGTTGAGACCGAAACACGACCCTCCGAGTATTTGAAAACTTTTCAGGAGAACGATAAGCGGATGAAGGAGCTACTTTTAGAGGAATTTAGCGATATCCGGCGAGAGTCTGACATGACAGAAAGTATTTTGGGCACATACTTCATCACCTTTGATCGAATTACGAAACAGATGCCGACAGCCGGGAATCTCCTGCGGCTAATTGCCTTCCTTGATCGTCAAAATATACCCGAGCAGCTCCTGCGCGAGTCTGGCGTTGAAGGGATGGATGGATGGATTCAATTTCGTCGTGCGATTGCCAAACTAGTGGGACTCTCATTGGTTACAGCCACCGAACGTGAAGATAAGACCTTCTATGAACTTCATCGTTTAATCCGGATATCGATACATGCCTATCTGCCACCAGAAGAGTTGAATAAATGGAGCTCCACCGCACTAGGGCTCGTGTCCCAAATGTTCCCTGAATATCAGTACGAGCTGAAGGATATTTGCCAGGCATATATTCCACATGCACTTGCCGTAACAAATGGTAGAATGGATATTATTGCTGAAGATCTTTGTTTTCGGATGGCGGAGTACTTTCTACATTTGGGTTCCTACAACAATGCAGAAGCACAGATCCGTCGATGTATCAGATTTCGCGCGGAGAACAAAGAGCAAGGCCGGGATAAAGGTTTCAGGAGATTTATGCTCCTAGGGCGGGTGAGCGCGCACCAAGGCAGGGCAAAGGAGGCAGAGGAGATACTTCGGAATGTGCTTGAGGATCTTCGCCGGTCTCTGGGTCCAAACCATTCTGACACCTTGGAATGCTTATCCTACCTAGCAAGTGTGATGAGTGATCTCGGAAAGTACGATGAATCAGAGACCATGAATCGGTGTGCACTCGCGGTGCGTGAGAGGGTTCTTGGACCTGATCACCAAGACACCCTAACCAGTGCCATTAACCTAGCTCTGGCGCTGCAATACCAAGGGAAGTACGATGAATCAGAGGCGATGAACCGGCGTGCCTTGGACGGATATGAGAAAGTTCTTGGACAGGACCACCCCGACACCTTAACGAGTGTCAACACCCTGGCTGCGTTATTGGAACTCCAAGGAAAGTACGATGAATCAGAGATGATGAATCGCCGTGCATTGCAGAGGCGTGACAAGGTTCTCGGACCAGATCACCCAGACACCTTCACAAGTGCCAACAACCTAGCTTTATGTT